TGTCACCCATATTTGGCTGAGAACAAATTGCTTCAAATATTTTACAGAGTTCAACTCTTTTCATCAACAGCAGTTATTTGCATGAGTTCAATAAGAATTTGTTTTCTTTTATAACAGGGTATCATTGGAGCCACTGACCTACAGAGCCAATAAAAGCCCCTAGGAAAAACTGGCCCCACGCCTTGTCCTTTACAAGGTACTGACCTGTGACAAGCAAAGAATATCACTTCCTGACAGGTCCAGGAATCCCAGAAACAGTCTGTGGTCTGTGTCTTTCTCCAGAGTTGACTTTGAGGGCTTCGATAGTTAAGGAAGAGTGCGGCTGGCCCTGGAAAGGCACCCAGATCCTTCCTCCCACCCCTTCCTTCCCCAGCGCCTCCTTCTACGCCCATCCCTCATTCATTCTTTCTTTCATATTGATTGAGGCCTGCTGTGCCTGTTGTGTGCCAGGAACTCAGCCAAGCCCTCAGATTTTAGGGGTGCCCTGCCTGCCTTGCCTGTGTGTTAAATACCTTACAGGCTAGGGCTGAAGGCAGGTTTCGAGTAAGAAAATAGAGGATCTCTAAAAGTTCCCAAAACAGAGACAGGGAAGGGGTAGTGATGGGTTTGGGAAAGGACGTGGGTGCCTAGAGGGGCGGGCTGATGATGACCGTCTCTTGCGTAGGGTGGGGGCAGGGGGGACTCCTCCACCGAACAGACCCCCATCGGAGCACAGCAAGGGAAGCTTCACGGGGGAGCCTCCTTCTGCCTGCACCCCAGATAATGTGGGCTGTTGCTTCAGCTGCAAATCCACCTGCAGAAAACCTTCTGGCCACATCTTGTGAAAAGGGAATTCATATACTCAGATATGCCCTTGTAAGCTCCACTCTGTTTCAACAGAAAGGGAATCATGCCAGATGCAGGAAGGCACACCCCAGGGGTGTCCAGTGCCAAGGCAGCTGCTGCAGGTGGGGCCTTCTGATCAGCTGGCGGGGACTCAGCGGCTGGGAAGGCCTGTCTGGATGGTGTTGGGGGCTCATCTGCCTAGCAGGCTGCTCAGTCATGAACACCCCGTGGATTCTCCAGGGAGGGCAGAGCCGGACAGCCGAGCAGGCTGGATGCAGCTGCCTCCCGCATTCCCTGTCCCGGGGAGGAGTGACTCGCCAGGACTGCTTCTCCGCAACCACGGGCAAAGTTCAGCACTGATCACACTTCTCTGCAGGCCTCTCACCGCACCTGTAGCCTGGAAGCCTCCCCGCCCACCCCTGCTTTGGGTTTTCCCACCTTTCTGAACCAAACCAATGAATTTCTTAAATGTATTTCATTGATGGCTGATGCTTCCCTAAAATGTATAAAACCAAGCTGCCCCGACCACCTCGGGCACATGTTCTCAGGGCCTCCTGGGGCTCTGTCACGGGCCGTAGTCACTCATACTTGGCTCTGAATAAATCTCTTCAAATATTTTACAGCGTTTGACTCTTTTTGTTGACACCAGCAATTACATCTCTAGGAACTGTGTCAATGTTGACCACCACGTTGTCACAGAACATGTCACAGGATCGTCATGGTGGCATTCCTTGTAACGGCAAAGTCAGAACCATCAGAATGGCGGGCAATAGCAGACTGGTTATGTAAATTACGGTTTGCTCGTGTGACAGAATATGGCTCAGCTATAAGTAACGAGTTCAATTTGAATGAGATGGAATGAATGCTCTTCAAAATGTACCAAGAGAGAAATTCAGGGTGCTGAAGAGCGTAGCACATCCCTGCTTGACCCAAAAAGGAACTACAGACAAAAGTCTCGGTGTCTCTACATGCACAGAAAGGTTATGGGATAAAACCCAAGGGCCATTACAGCGTCTGCTCTGGGGGTGGAGGAGGAGGAGGAGAACCGGGCCCAGTGAGGAAGTAGACTTGGTGTGCGTTGCAGACACCTGCGTACTGTTCGCTGTTTTGCTTTTATTTTTTTGAGATGGAGTCTTGCTCTGTCGCCCAGGCTGGAGTGCAGTGGTGTGATCTCGGTTTACTGCAACCTCTGCCTCTCAGATTCAAGAGATTCTCTTGCCTCAGCCTCCCAAGTACCCAGGATTACAGGTGCCCACCACCATGCCCAGCTAATTTTTATATTTTTGCTAGAGACAGAGTTTCACCGTCTTGGCCAGGCTGGTCTCAAACTCCTGACCTCGTGATCCACCTACCTTGGCCTCCCAAAGTGCTGGGATTACAGGCATGAGCCACCACAGCTGGCCTCATTTTTCTTTTTGAGACAGGGCCTTGCCCTGTCGCCCAGGCTGGAGTGCAGTGGTTGGATTACAGCTCACTGCAACCTCTGCCTCCTGACCTCAAGATCCTCCCACCTCAGCCTCCTGAGTAGCTGGGATTACAGGTGTGTGCTACCACACCTGGCTGATTTTTCTATTTTAGTAGAGACGGGGTTTCTCCATGTGGCTCAGTCTAGTCTTGAACTCCTGAGGTCAAATAATCCACCCGCCTTTGCCTCTCAAAGTGCTGGGATTACAGGTGTGAGCCACTGCACCTGGCAGATGTTTAATTTTTATATTTTACCAAGTGTGCTGGGTTGAATGGCAGTCCTTAAAACCATAGGCCCAAGTCCTAACCCCTGGTACCTGTGAATGTGACCTGATTTGGAATAGGGTCTTTGAGGATCTAGTTAAGGTGTAAATTAAGATGAGGTCCCACTGCAGTAAGGTGGCCCTTAATACAACTCAACAATGTCCTAAGAAGAAGACGAAAGACACACACACACACACAGGCACACGCACACACACACATATGCAGGCACACGCACACACACGTACACACACACGCGCACACACGCACTCACGCACGCACACACACATGCACACACAGAGGGTGAAGAAAGCCACGTGGTGACAGAGGCTGAGATTGCAGGGATGCGTACTCAAGCCAAGGGAGCCAAGGACAGCTGCCGCATCAGACCCTGGAGAGAGCATGGCCCTCCCAACACCTCGAGTTTGAACTTCTAGCTTCCAGAATTGTCAGAGAATAAATCTGTGTTGTTTTAAGGTACTCTGCTAACTGTGTTATGGCAGCGATGTGACACTAACATGTATCTACGTGACTTTTTCAATAAGAAAAACGATTTCATTTTCTAATGTGAGGGGCAAAATAAATAAAGGTTCCCATGATGATCACAAATGAAGGCGGCGATCAGAAGGTGGTGGAATTGCATACGATCGTTACTTCCGTTGTGCTGGGAGCACGTGACTCACAACACAAAAACGTGCTATTTCTGTAATCAGAAAAAGAAGTACATCAGCAGCATTCTGAGGCAGCGTAAGAAGGGATTTCCCCTCTGGAGGTGAGCAGACAAAAGCTCAAAGAGGATGAAGGAGGAGAAGGAGGCCACACTCTCCCTCTGCCGTAGGAACGTAAACACAGGTCATTCAACACATCTCTCCGTCAGTAAGAATCAGTCATTAGGAAGTAAGGAGACGAAGGTAATGAAAACCAAAAGCACATTAAAAAATATTCCTTTAATTTTTCAAATGGGACAAAGTCCTGTCCTCATAGCCACGGGAAGAACCTATGTGCAGAGGTGTCACTGTGACGCTTGCATCATCAAAGGAGCCTGGTGACATCAGCACCAACGGAAGACTCCAGGGTTAGGAGAGCAGTAGATGGCAGCTGGATGGTGGTGTGACACAGACCCTAAGATATGCTGCTTGGAAGAAACTCATCCTCAAGGGATGTCTTTGGCTGTCTCTTTACATCACTCTAACCCAAGGTAAAGGACTTTTAAAGAGGGATCTAGGAAAGTTTGGATGATTGTGGTAAAATCAGGGTCAGGGTCATCCCTTAGCCTTGACCTCAGAAAGATACTGACAGACAGGCAGCTCATCAATATATAGCTAGGGGCATGCCCAGGGACGATGTCATGGAGGAGGGAACACTGATGCAGAGAATCTGGCTGGATGGGCCCATCTTACCCCCTCCACGTGACATTTCTGGTGATCTTGAATTTAAAGGGTGGTCAGTTTCAAATCACAGAGGCCCAACTGAAGCCTTCCCAGGATGGGATTATATCAAGAACTGCCCCATAGGAATAAAACGTGAGCCACATTTTCAGTGTCCAGTTTCCTAGAAGCAACGTTACAAACAGTACAAAGAAACAGGTGAATTAATTTTCATAATTTATTTTTCATTTAACTCACTCTTTCCAGATGACAACACCCAGACTGTTACCATTTCGGTGTGTAAACGATATGAAGTTATGAGTGAGATGGTAAATTCTTTTCTTTCCCACTGTGTCTGACTTTGAGACCCCATGTTTCCTACCTTGCAGCATACCTCATTTCACAGTGGCTGCATTTCACGTGCTCAGGGACCACACGTGGCAAGTGGCTACTTTATAGCTACTAGTGCAGAGCTAAAGCATCATGTTTATTAAATGAATGTTCAAATGAAAATCACTGTGAGCCTGAGGCGGGTGGATCACCTGAGGTCAGGAGTTTGAGACCTGCCTGGCCAACATGGTGAAACTCCATCTCTACTAAAAATACAAAAAATTAGCTGAGTGTGGTGGTGTGCACCTGTAATCCCAGCTACTAGGGAGGCTGAGGCAGGAGAATCGCCTGAACCCAGAAGGTGAAGGTTGCAGTGAGCCAGGATTGTGCCACTGAACTCCAGCCTGGGAGACAGAGTGAGACTCCAACTTAAAAAAAAAAAAAAAAAAAGGAAAATTGGAGGATTGGAGACCTGCATTTTGTGTGGACACAGCCCAGGGGTGTGTTCCTGATGGGCTTGTAAAATGAATCCCACGTGAAGCCTCCAACTCACGCACAGGCACTGGCGAGAGCCCAGACTCCCACCTTCAAGTCTAATGCCTTTAACTTAGACAACATTCCCTGTTTACAAGCAACTACCTTTGAGAGCACTCGTGAATTTTTAGACTGGCACAGTCTTGGAACAAATTATCCATCTTACGATCTCAGTGAGGAAGAAAGAATAGCAAGTCAGCTTTGGGGGAAGAAAACCTGCTCCTGGGTCAAGATGACTTCCTCATCAACACCTCATTCTGTGTTCACAGCCCTGCAGTGGAGAGATTTATTGCTTTTCTTTTATGCAATCAAGTCAGACTTCAATTTGAACACGGGGAGGAACAGATTGTGTGTGCAGCTGGCCCACAGGAGCAGTCAGCCCCGGACACTGGAAGGAGAACTGAGGCTTTCCTGACTCAAGTTGCTGCCTTCTGATAGCTGAACATTCTAGAAGTAACCTCTAAGGTTGGTGGTGTCCAACTGTCCATCCATTAACCCCTTGTTAGAAGATGGCAAATACATCTTTTATATTGCTTAAAACACAATTTTTCTTCCTTTTTCCCTAGGAGAGAATGAATTTGAAAAGAATGCTGTTACTGGTTTTATTTGTTTTTTCACTGATGTTGGTTAAGCGTTATTTCAGGTAAATATAAAATATTGATGAATCGTGATCTTTAGTGATTGGTAGAGATGGCTTTAATTTCTTTTTAATTAATTTAATTTTTTGAGACAGGGTCTTACTCTGTTGCCCAGGCTGGAGTGCAGTGGTGCCACATCAGCTCACCACAGTCTTGACCTACCAGGCTTAAGTGATCCTCATGCCTCTGCCTCCTAAGTTGCTGGGTTTACAGGCACATGCCACTACACACAACTAATTTTTAAAGTTTTTTTTTTTTGTAGAGACAGAGTCTCCCTATGTTGCCCAGGCTGGTGGAGATCATCTAAACTGCTGAGTTTTGTCCAAAGATATCAATACTACTCTCTAAATAAATCAGAAGTCACTTCCTCTTTGCGGGACAAAACAGAATAGACATATTTTAAACCTTTCATTGTTAAACATTTAACTACTATTTAGAGAGTGCCTTCTAGGTACCAGGCTCTATCCTAGGTGCTGGGGATGTGGCAATCACCAAAGTGCCTGTCCTCAGGGAGCTTTCATTCTATTTGGAGAAGGTAGACAATAAACACACATAAAAGTGCCAGGGATATAATATTTTATAAAATGAGCATAATAAATAAAGGTGAGAGTGCCATTTTAGATGAATTATAAACTATCTCAAGGTTCCGTCTCTGTGTTTAATATAAACAAGACGAAAATCAACCTATTTCTATACATGTAGAAAAATGTGTACTACAGGACACCTCTGTAAACCTCCTGATACGGTTTGGCTCTGTCCCCACCCAAATCTCAACTTGAATTGTATCTCCCAGAATTCCCACGTGTTGTGGGAGGGACCGGGGGAGGTGATTGAATCATGGGGGCCCGTCTTTCCTGTGCTATTCTCTGATAGAGAATAAGCCTCATGAGATCTGATGGGTTTATCAGGGGTTGCTACTTTTGATCCTTTCTCATTTCCTCTTGCCGCTGCCATGGAAGAAGCGCCTTTCTCCTCCTGCCGTGAGCCACGCGGAACTGAAAGTCCAATTAAACCTCTTTTTCTTCTCAGTCTTGGGTATGTCTTCATCAGCAGCATGAAAACAGACTAGTACATCTGCTGATATGCTCTCATCTAGAACAACTCGAATTCTTGCTTTCTCTGTACCACTCCTCATGGCCTTTTTCATATCATGAGAGATAATGGTTTTTAAAAACAGCAGTAGTATCATGAGAGATAATGGTTTTTAAAAAATGAAGGCTTTGCACAACATGTATCTTATAAAGGACTTGTACCCAAAATAGGCAAAAAGCTCTTAAAATTCAACAATAAGGGAACAAACACCTAAATTTAAAAATGAAATAGTGGCATTTAAAACATTTAAAAATGAGCAAAAGAACTGAATAGAGTCTCACAAGAGAAGACGGACAGATGGAAAGTAAGCGAATGCCAAGATGCTCAGCCTCATTTGTCATCAGGGAACTGCAGTCAAAACAAGGAGATGCCACTACCCACCCATTAGAACAGCTAACACCCAAACATCGAAAAACCAGGTGCCGGTGAGGACGTGGAGTGACAGAAACTCTCATTCATTGCTGGTGGGAATGCAAAATGGTGCAGGTACTGTGGAAGACAGCATGGCTGTTCCTTAGAAAGCTAGTTATAGCTGGCCGGGCACAGTGGCTCACGCCTGTAAGCCAAGCACTTTGGGAGGCTGAGGTGGGTGGATCACAGGGTCAGGAGATCGAGACCATCCTGGCCAACATGGTGAAATCCCGCCTCTACTAAAATACAAAAAATTAGCCAGGTGTGGTGGTGCACACCTGTAGTCCCAGCTATTCAGGAGACTGAGGCAGGGGAATCGTTTGAACCTGGGTGGCGGAGATTGCAGTGAATGGAGATTGGGCCACTGCACTCCAACTTGGTGACAGAGCAAGACTCCATTTAAAAAAAAAAAAAGAAAAAGAAAAAGGGAAGAAAGCTAGATATAGCTTTACCATGTGATGAAGCAGCTGTGCTCCTAGGTATTTAGCCAATGGATTAAAAAACTCATGTCCACACAAAACCCTGCACAAGAAGTTTATGGAAATTCTACTCACACGTTCCTCAAACCACTGACAAAGTAGGTTTCCTTCAGCAGGCGAAGGGTACACAAGCTGTGGCTCATGCAGTGCTCCAGAAACAAACAAGGTGCCCTTCAACAGGAAGAGAATGATACACAGGCTGCAGTGTTCCATGCAACGGAGTCCCACTCCACAGTAACAAGAAATGAGCTACAAGCTGTTAAAGATGCACGGGAGCCCTAAATGCGTATTGCCAAGTGCAAGAAGCCCGTCTGAAAAGGCTGCATGCTTTTATAATTCTCCTGTGACATTCTGGAAAAGGTAAGACTATGTTGGCAGGAAAAAGATCCATGGTTGCCACGGAGTGGAGGTGGGGGAGGGGGTGAACAGATGAAGCACAAAGGAATTTTGGGGGGCAGTGAAACTATCCTGTGTGACAGTGTAACCATGGACACATGTAAATTTGCATTTTTTAAAAAACCCATAGGACGTTCCGGCAGAAGAGTGAAATTAACATATGTAAATTTTAAAAAATTAGCTAGGAGGTTTGAGGTATCCTAGGAAGCAGTGCAGAGTGTGAGAACGTCATCTCCGTCCCACATGTAGAGAACAGGCCCGCTAGAACAGGAGAGGCAGAAAGCTGCTGACCTAAAATAACAAGAGTGAGTGGAGTTTAAAAGTAAAGGAGTTCAAAGGGGGTGGCTCATGCCTGTCATCCCAGCACTTTGGGAGGCTGAGGCAGGTGGATCACGAGGTCAGAAGTTTGAAGCCAGCCTGACCAACATGATGAAACCCCGTCTCTACTAAAAATACAAAAATTAGCCAGGCGTGGTGCCACACACCTGTAATCCCAGCTACTCAGGAGGCTGAGGCAGGAGAATCGCTTGAACCAGGGAGACAGAGGTTATAGTGAGCCAAGATCACACCACGGCACTCCAGCCTGGGTGACAGAGCAAGACTCCATCTCAAAAACAAAAACAAAAACAAAAACAAAAACAAAAAAGGCACATGAGCACGGTGTTTGGGTTGATAAAGGTTTGTTCCCACAGGAGTGTGAGTTAACAATTCTGCTGCTGCTATATATGTATATTTGAATCAATTAAATAAATGGATGGGGGATGGGGTATGGGGGAGCAGGTTTCTCATTGTTGGAGGGGACTTCATAGATAAGCAAGAGAGGGGGCCAGAGTGATCCCAGGGGCAATGGATCGAAGCTGGAGACCTCAGCATGGACTCGCCCTTACTATGAACAGAGACGATTACATGGCAACATGTTTGAAGACATGTGGATGTACACACAGATTAGTAGCTGTTTCCTTGCTCTGTTAGCTGAGAGGGCCCAGAAGCAAGGACGCCCCAGGAGCAATAAGCACTCCAGGTGCCTAGGTCTTGGCTTCTAACACCATTCTCCAGGAAAACAACCAGGGCTTCTTAGAGAAGGGGACAGTCCTAGATTCGGGCAGGGGATTTACAAGATGAGCCCAGAGCATCTTGCGGTGCCAGGAAGGAAGGAAGGAAGGGATTTTTACAAATTCTATTTTTAAGGGAGTATGTCACTTAACTGGGACAGGGAAGCTAACTGGGAGAGCTCCCAATGGCCAAAGCTGGATCCATTTAGCAAGAAAAGGAAGTAACATTGAATCACAATGCAAAGCATGAAACGAATTCCACAAGTCCACACTGATGTAAATGAATGACTGGAGGGAAAAAAAAAAAAAAGAAGGAGGAAAGAAAGGAAGCCAGGTTGGCTGAATGTTGGAAGAACTGAAGGAAAGAAGAAGGGAGAAGAGACAGATCTCCCATGCAGAGGAATTCCAGACCATGCCTATAGATTCTCCACTACCAAGGATACAGACCCTTATGCCCCAGTCCTAAAGTGTGGGGTACACACAGTGTTTCCTTATAAAGACCCCAGGATGGAAAGCGGGGAAGCGAGAGCAGTCTGTGCGTGGAGAAGCCTGAAAATACAACTCTAGCCAGGCGGGCAAGGTCAGCATGGACGGGAAGGCGTGAGGAGGTCTGAGAGGCTGCTGCAGTCAGGAGGAGCCTGTGCATTTGGAGGCTGAGTGCAGGGTGGCGTGCTGGGTGGGATCCTGAAAAAGAGAAGGGACATTAGGTGAAAACAAGAGCATCCAACCAAAGCATGGACTCCTGTTAATAATAAGGCATCCGTGTTGCTTCATGAATTGGAACAAGAGTACCCTACTCAAACTAGATGTTATTGATGGGGAAACGGGCTGGGTTCGGGGAATTCTGCGTACTAACTTTAGAAGGTTATTGTAAAGCCAAATCTGCTCTCCCCTCCACTTCCCTTCCTTCCTCTTTCTCTCTCTTTCTTTCTTTTTTTTTTTTTTTGACAGAGTCTTGCTCTGTCACCCAGGTTGGAGTGCAGTGGCATGATTTCAGCTCACTGCAACCTCCGCTTCCCAGGTTCAAGCAATTCTCTTGCCTCAGCCTCCCACGTAGCTGGGACTACAGGTGCCTACCACCATGCCTGGCTAATTTTTGTATTTTCAGTAGTGACGGGGTTTCAACTATGCTGGCCAGGCTGGTCTCGAAATTCTGACCTTGTGATCCACCTGCCTTGGCCTCCCAAAGTGCTAGGATTGCAAGCATGAGCCACTGCGTGTGGACACAGTATTTTTCTTTAGGTTAAAAAACCTTCTTCAGACAAGGATGTTCTCTGCTCTGGTCATTCTGCAGGGCCCCAGAAAGTGATCAGACCAGCTTGATCCGAGAGTGAGGACTTTTTAGAAAGTTCCCCTTTGTTGCTTCATGTTTTGATGGTGTCTGGCATGGACAAATGGGATTTTGATGAGTGTAGCCCTGGGGAATCCAATCATGGAATATCCGTGGCTAAGGACACTTCTGGGAGGCAGGCTTCAAGTCATTGATTTATTGAAAGTCATGGGTTTTACTTAAAAATATCCCAGGGTTACTATCCTAGGCAACAGAGGGAGACTCTGTCTCTACAAATAGTTGAAAAATTAGCCAGGTGTGGTGGCACACCCCTGTGGTCCCAGCAACCCAGGAAGCTGAGGTGGGAGGATTGCCTGAGTCCAGGAGGTTGAGGCTGCAGTGAGCTGTGCTGGTGCCACCACACAGTGAGAGCCTGTCTCAAAAAAAAAAAAAAAATCCTCCCAGGGTTATGAGGCAGAGGTTGCCTAATAAACTTGCTAATCGAATAATTAGCTTAAAAGCACCATCACACTCTAGATGAATGCAGTGTTGAAATGCAAAGGGAGGCAGCTTGTGCCTGTGGTCCCAGCTACTGTGCAGGTTGAGGTGGGAGCGTGGCTTGAGTTCAGGGCTTTGAGGCTGCAGTGAGCTTCGATCATGCAAGTGAGAACGCAGCTCTTAAAATAAATAAATAACAAAATAAATGCAAAGAGAATCAAAGACGAGCTCCTCCCCACCTCTTTACAACATGTAGCAAAGCCACTTATGTTTGGTAAGTAAATTAACGAAATCTATGTTTTTGTCTGAATATACTGTTCATTGCCTTTTTTTTAAAAAAAATCTTCCTCCCAACACCCATATTCTTTCCTGACATCCTGCCCTTGGCCATGACCTCCTTTACCTAGATGTCTTCCCTAGAGCAGCTCATACCCTTCCCCACCCAGCCGAGATCTCTCTCCAGGTGGCTTCTCCCGACTCTGATTTGGGCTGACGCATGTTGACGAAAAGCCGAACAAGGCCTGCCCATCGCAGGCTCTGTTAGCATTGATCAGACTCCTTGTAATCATTGGATTTTCCCTCTGTACCCAGGAATTGCCATGTAGAAGAGCTTCAGCTCTCAGACTGGTTTCAACCTAGGTAAGAACAAAAATGTCTTTTTAGCCAGGCGCGGTGGCTCAAGCCTGTAATCCCAGCACTTTGGGAGGCCAAGGCGGGTGGATGATGAGGTCAAGAGATCGAGACCATCCTGGTCAACATGGTGAAACCCCGTCTCTACTAAAAATACAAAAAAAAAAAAAAAAAAAAAAACATTAGCTGAGCATAAGTGGCGCGTGCCTGTAATTCCAGCTACTCAGGAGGTTGAGGCAGGAGAATTGCTGGAACCTGGGAGGCAGAGGTTGTGGTGAGCCGAGATCGCGCCATTGCACTCCAGCCTGGGTAACAAGAGCGAAACTCCGTCTCAAAAAAAAAAAAAAAAAAAAAAAAATGTCTTTTTACACGCACACACAAACAACACACCTCAGTTTGAAGAAACAGGTTTTTCTTCCCCAGTCACCAAATTCAGCTCTCCTGGGAGGTTTCCAGAATTGGGGTTTCATTCTGGAGGCTCTTATAAACAAACCAGGGTCTGCTGAGACCCAGGCAGTCACAGAGGTGATGAAGAAGGGGGACCAGGGGTTGTGGGGATCAGCGGTGCTTGGGACCAGGGGCGGTGGGGATCGGGGTGGTGGGGACCAGGGGTGGTGGGGACCAGGGGTGCTGGCGATCAGCGTTGGTGGGGACCAGGGGTGCTGGGGATCAGTGCTTGTGGGGATCAGGGGTGCTGGGGATCAGCGCTGGTGGGGATCAGGGGTGGTGGGGATCAGGGGTGGTGGGGACCAGGGGTGGCGGGGACCAGGGGTGGTGGGGACCAGGGGTGGTGGAGATCAGGGGTGGTGGAGATGAGGGGTGGTGGGGATCGGGGTGGTGGGGACCAGGGGTGGTGGGGACCAGGGGTGGTGGAGATCAGGGGTGGTGGGAATCAGGGGTGGTGGGGACCAGGGGTGGTAGGGATCAGGGGTGGTGGGGACCAGGGGTGGTGGAGATCAGGGGTGGTGGGGATCAGCGGTGGTGGTGCTCACCTGCATAGGGTGTTGCAAGGATAAATGGGATAACACCCTCAAACATGGCGCTGGACACACTGTCCGAGCTCTCTAGGCGTTAGCCATTACGCTCACACCTGCTGCTGCCGCCAGAGTAAAGCCGTCCCTGTTTAACCTGGTTCTTGTTCCACAGAAAACGCCCCGATGTCATAACCAAAACAGACTGGCTAGCTCCCGTCCTATGGGAGGGGACTTTTGACAGGCGGGTTCTGGAAAAACATTACAGACGGTGCAATATCACCGTGGGCCTGGCCGTCTTTGCTACTGGCAGGTAGGAGCCACTCACCTGTGGCCTTTTTTATTTTGGGAAAAGGTGGATCAGCATTCATGGACTTTTGACCTCCAAAGATAATTAAGCATGATTAACGATAACAATAGCCATGAATTCTGTGAGAAAGTAACTTACATGTCCAAACCCAAAAAATGAACTCAGAGACCCAGAGAACAGCGAAAGTGACATTTTAATGATGGTCTTGGAAGATCGGCTGTCCGACGGGCAGGCACGCCCAGCACAGTTTCAAGAAGCAGTTTATCCCCTAGTGCGAGGGTCCCTCCCCCTGGTTCCTCACAGGCTGGGTATTACGGGGTCACAGTCTTCCCGGACGTCGCCTGTTTGTTGGGCGGGGGCTTCAGGCGTTCTTTTTGGGATTGTCCTGCTGCGTTTTGTTGCAGCCACAATGTACTGCGATCCCAATCCGCTCAGGGGCTCTTCAGGTGTTTGACTTATGACTGAAGTCGCTGGGCAGGCTGATAAGAACGGGCAAAGTGAGCTATTTTGCAGGCTAGTAAACTTTCAGTTTAGACTAATAAACTTCAGTTCAGGTGAAGCCAACTAATTGGTGGGGGCAGGGAGGTGACAAGCAGGCCTTGGCGATTCAAGCAGGGGCCTAGTATATCCTGCTTCTTTTGTAATTTGCTGAACTAAGCCGATTTAAGGCCCTTTGTCTTGGAAATGGACTACTGTATACATAATTTCCTTCCATTTCGGGCTGTCCTGTGCAAAGGCATGCCGGGTTTCCCTGTCGATGGCTGAGTCCTTAACACCAATGGGAATCTTTTGACTCATACCCATTTAGCTCCTGCTCCCTTTCTTCACAACAGTCATTCCGAAACGGTGGCTTTTCTCAAGCCCTTCGGGTCAGGACATTCCTTCCCACTCACAGACTCAGCTGGAGTTGTCGGTGCAACTCCACGCTTACACATCCCGAGTTCCTTAGCATCAGAAACACCCATGTTAGACAGCGCATTCAGCCGTCTCTTCTGATCATGTTTAGAAAAGTAAGGGGCGGCCACGCACAGTGGCTCACGCCTGTAATCTCAGCACTCTGGGAGGTTGAGGTGGGTGGATCACCTGAGGTCAGGAGTTCAAGACCAGCCTGACCAACATGGCAAAACCCCGTCTCTCCTAAAAATACAAAAATATTAGCTGGGCGTGGTGGGCAGGGGGGCTGGGAGGGGGTGTGCTTGTAATTCCAGCTACTCAGGAGGCTGAGGCAGGAGAATCACTTGAACCCAGGAGGTGGAGGTTACAGTGAGCCGAGATTGCACCACTGCACTCCAGCCAGGGCATCAGAGCAAGACTCCATCTCAAAAACAAAGACAGAAGGAAGGAAAAGTGTCTTCTCCGGTGTGTGTGTTTCCTAGGTTTGCAGAAGAGAACCTGAGGCCGTTCTTGCACTCCGCAAATAAGTACTTCATGACAGGTTACCGAGTGATCTTCTACGTCATGGTGGACAGCTTCTTCAAGCTGCCCCAGATAGAGCCCAGTCATCTTCGAACGTTCAAAGTGTTTAAAGTGAGCACCGGGAGTGGGCGGCCCGACGGCTCCCTGGAGCCCATGAAGAGCCTGGGTGAACACATCGTCAGTCACATCCAGGGTGAGGTGGACTTTCTCTTCAGCATGGCTGCCAACCAGGTCTTCCAGAGCGAGTTCGGGGTGGAGACCCTGGGCCCCATGGTGGCCCAGCTCCACGCCTGGTGGTATTTCAGGAACACCAAGAACCTCCCTTACGAGAGGAGGCCGGCCTCAGCAGCTTGCATCCCATTTGGACAGGGGGATTTCTATTATGACAGCTTGATGGTTGGTGGCACGCCTCAGAATATTTTAGATTTCATCGAAAATTATCTGAATGGAGTTATCCATGACAACAAAAATGGACTCCATAGCACCTATGAAAAGCACCTCAACAAATATTTTTACCTGAATAAACCCTCCATGCTATTATCACCAGAATACAGCTGGGATCTTGCATTTTCTCCTCCTCCAGAGATCCAGTACGTCAAGGTGGCACATGCTTCCCACAGGAAATTATGATTACGCCGTGAGGTTTATGACGAACAAATGAATCGCAGCAATTTCTTATAAATGTGAGACTTCTTAAAACCTTCCATTTTTTAGAGACATAAACATTTACATCCTTCCAAAATAAATGTTTCCTCTTGCCATGTTGAGCCATCTTATTTGGCCAATATAGAATAAAGAATAAAAGGCTCATTACTTAATACACAGTAATATTATTATCTATGTATTGTAGATAATGCAGAAATACTTTTGACATAGAATGAATTTTTTTAATTTAAAAATATTAAAAATTTTAATATTTTTAACTCTAGTTTAGAAAAAATATTCACAAAATGGAAAAGTCTTACATGCAAAGGAAAAAAATAAGTTCTAGGCCACTCGATAAGTATTCATTGTGTTTTTCACACTGGGATACACGTGGCTTGTGGTCAGCCCCTCCTGTGGTCTCAGTCTGTCCAGTGTGTGAGTCAACACAGGTGAGCTAGAGGAATCTGGTCAAAGCCACGTCTTACTTTCATGATTTCAAAGCAAGATATTCAATTTGTTCTGTTAAAAAGCTGTAGGCATTTTATTTTTTAAAAAAGATATTTATTGAGCTCAGTGGTAAAGGCGCTCTGCCAGATGCAGACAAGGATAGAGAGGTGTTTGGAACACCTGCGCTGTGTCCCTGGCAGCCTGCAGTCTGGCAGGGGTTGAGGCCGTGCGCTAAGAGCGCATATTCGGGGTGCTGAATGTGACAAGGAAGATGCTCACCTGAGCTCTGTGGTGGGCAGGGAGCTGGCACCTCCACGAAACGCTTTGTGTGGGCACCGAGGGGCGTGCTCCTAACGCCGCGGGCAGCTGCAGCTGTGAACAGCTTTGGCAAGTATGATGGCGGGACTCACATCCCACCCCACGACTATGCTGAAGTGTTGGGGTTCACTCGGGGTGGGTGGCAAAATATTAGGGAAATATTAGGGAAAGTTAGAAGACGATAGTCTCAAATCTTTTGGAAGGTCGAAAGGTTTAAATGGAGTGGGCTGAAGGCACCCAGTCCATGACGTTAGAACTTTAAGTCATAGAGTAAAAGATTAGGGACGATGAAAGCTTCCCCAGTGAAGTCTGTTTGCCCCACATTCCTTTGTCTCTGCTCTAATGTGTTTGCTCACGTAAACTTAGTGCTGGATGGTCCTCTCGGGGAGGTCAAAGGGGAATTACCCGTGAATGGTGTTTACTCTGGGTCCTGGTACCTAAAGCTTTCATCATTCGTAAAACTGCTCTTTTAACCGTGTTAATTAGGCGCAAGCATGTTGACTTAGAAACTCTGTTATTAAATCTATCCTGAGTAAATGTGAGGCCTTACAGGAAGTTATGGCTGGTTGGCTGCACTGGTCCTCTGAAAGCAGCCGACGACCATCCTAGCCCTCTCAGATTAGTGCGTGTGAGTGCCTTCATTCATCCATCATCCAGTCAGGGCCTGCAGGACAGACCTCCGCAGGTGGAGACTGATGTCTCAGGTGGTGACCCCAACGTGATCCAGGTCTCACTGAAGTCCGTACCTCAGAATGAGACTGTGTCTGGAGATAGGGCTGTTAAAGAGGTCATTAAGGTAAAATGAGGCATTAAGGTGGGCCCTAATCCCACAGGACTGTCTGGCATCCTTATAAGAAGAGGTGAGGACACAGACACACAGAGGGGCGACCGTGAGGGCACAGGGAGAAGAGGTGTCTGCAAGCTGAGGGTTGAGGCCTCAGGAGGAGCCAGCCCTGCAGCACCTTGCTCTTGAACTTCCAGCCTCTGGGACTCTGAGGATGCACATTGCTGTTGCTGAGGCCGCCCAGCCCAGCCCATCATACTCTGTGAATGGTGGCCTGAGTGAACTGATCCAGCAGGTGTCCCCAAAATATCGGCAGCTGAAACACTCGATTGCAAGGAGTGCTGGCCACCGCTTCCTGGGATGGAAGACTGGGGGAAGTAGAAAAGTTCCTCTTTAAAGTGTCCTTTCTTGTTAAAGAATAAATCACAAGTGTGCTATTAACTCTTTGTGAAGCCCGATCCCATGTAGCTGTGAGACACGCCATGCTTACAGACACGTAGTACATTCTGTGTCCTTGTGCTTTAACCAAGATATCTGTGCTGGACGTGCTCACAGGCATGTCCCAGCTCTCCACTGCTTTTACCTGTTTAGAAAAGTTTTAAATTATTAGCCAATCGGGTTTTAGTTTAGATTGTGAGCTCTGGCTCCAGCCAATGGAAATCTGACACAGCAGTGAGGATGTCCCCAAATGCATAAGGGATAAATATGTCTGCTTTCCTCTGTTCATTGTACTCTCTGGCAAGATGGCTAGTGAGGGAACCCTTCCTGCAGTCCAGGAAGTAAAAGTTGCATTGCTGAAAGGTCCTTTGTCTCAGTGCTGATTTTTCTTTGCGGCACAGAGCAAATGTTTCCAACAGAGACGGAGGCTGAGAAAAGCCTCCCTGAGTTCAGAATTAGACCTGGCGCTACCACCTCAGGGTCCCTCCATTATATCACCCAACCTCCCCTCATGCCCAGTTCATGACAGGGACTGTCTTAAAGAACCTGTGTGTCAGGATTTAGCTCACCCTGCCTCTTCTTTGCTGTCGTCCCCTTTGACTAAAAGAAGGTGATCTTTTCAGGGACTCATTTATTCTTGCATCTCACAGAGTAGCTCTCAACTTAAAAAAAATTCTATGAAAGCGTCAACAGAGTGAAAATAGATATTACATTAGCCACAAACCCTATATATAGAGTATTCGTAATTACTTTGGCCGGATCTGGAAAGGGCGGGGTGTACTGAACCAAACTTTTTTTTTTTTTTTTTTTTGCCGATTTATAGATAAGGCTAGAAGACTGACTGAGAAGGCTTCTGACATTTTATCTTTAAAAATTATGAAATCAACTGGGTGCTGTGGCTCATGCCTGTAATCCCAGCACTTTGGGAGGCCGAGGCGGGCAGCTCACCTGAGGTCAGGAGTTCAAGACCAGCCTGCCCGACATGGTGAAACCCAGTCTCTACTAAAAATACAAAAAATTAGCTGGACGTGGTGGCTGAGGCAGGAGAATCTCTTGGACCTGGGAGGTAGAGGTTGCAGTGAGCTGAGATCATGCCATTGCCCTCCAGCCTGGGCAACAAGAGTGAAACTCCATCCCCTCCAAAAAATTATGGAATCAATATTAAAGTGTTATAAATTTCTTGATTTGCATGGCAGAACAACAGGTAAGCTCGTTCATGTTTAGAATTTCCAGGTCTGGGGCAAGCCTGTTTAGAAGACCTAGAAACTAGGTCACCCAGAAAAGCCAACGTCTGTCCCCACCAGCCAGTGTGTGCCTCCCTCACAGAGGGTGCTAAATAGATTTCTAAAAGAAGTTTAATTTTGCCAATTTGATGAGCAAAACTAAATAGCCTCTCTCTTTTTTTTTATTTGATTACTTCTGAAGTCAAGGCTTCTTTTCATCACCCTTTGGATCTGTGCAAATAGCTTTTTCTATATTCTGCTCAGTGGTTTTTTTTTTTTTTTAGAGACAGGATCTCACTCTGCTGCCCAAGCTGGAGTGCAGTGGTGTGACTGTGGCTCACTGTAGCCTCAAACTCCTGGGCTCAAGCCGTCGTCTGGCCTCGGCCTTCCATAGTGATACAGTGATGGGATTGTAGGCATGAGCCACCATGCCTGCCCTTCAAGGAGTTTTGGTTGATATGTGCATTTACGTATGCGATATGAACCCTTCGTCACATTTGCTGCAGATGTTAATTTGATTGTTGTTTCCATGTTAGTTGTGTTGATGATGTCTTTGATGTGCCCGAGTTTAAAGCTCTCATGGCTGCCACCCCTTCCCCTGGCGTTGATGCTGGCTGCGTAGGTACGCCATCCCCGAGTCGTAGAGAGTATAGAAGTTTCCAGGCTTGGCTGGGCGTGGCAGCTCACGCCTGTAATCCAAGCTCTTTGGAGGCCAAGGCAGGAGGATCACCTGAGTTTGGGAGTTCAAGAACAGCCTGACCAACATGATGAAACCCCGTCTTTAAAAAAAAAAAAAAGAAGTTTCCAGGCTTCCTTTTATTCAGAGTTGATCAGGGACTAATCTTAAGACAATGTGTAGGGTGAGATCTACTCTGATTCCCTCCTCTGTCTTGCCCATTTCCCTCAGCGTTATTTATTGAATAAATAATGCTTTTTAAGGACAGGCCCTTTGTACCGTCTACGAAGCTGTCGTACATAACCATGTTTGTTTCTTGACTTGCCACCAGTCACATGGCTGTTCTTCTGCCTTACACGCTTCTCACCACTGTCATTCTACACTGGGGGGTGAGACATCCATCTGCACAACTCTGCCTTTAAAATTGTTCCCAGACTTTTATTCCTTCATGTGAATTGTGGATTCAGATCTGCAGTTTGGGGGACAATCCCGCTGGAAGATAAACTGAAGTGTACAGGTGAGCTTGAGGTTATTAACTCTACGATGTTGAGAGATACCCAGAGCTCTCACGTTGATATTTATTCTGGTCATGTTAATGCCCCAGAAAAGGTGATTTTTTAATGATCTTACAGATTCCGTAAGCCCCTTGTTAGACGTGCGCCGTGTGCTTTGCGATGGTCATTTTTCCTTCTGGTTTTTCCAGCCGGGCTTGCTGGTGTGCCGGAGAACCTCAGGGCTTCGCCGTCAGCTCTGGCACCAGCTCTGGGTTTCATTCCGTCGTGGGGGGAAGGGGAAGAACAGGGAGAAGGCCTTGCTGGAGGTGTTTTCCGGGACGGCTTCTGGCCATACCTGTCTTGGGAGTTCCAGACGACAAGTATCATGTCCTTGACCCAATTTCCTCAGAGCCTGCCCTGCCCATGAGTGGCCCTGGCTCGTCGGGAGCAGAAGCAGGTGCTGCCCTTTGGAAACCTGGGCTCTGAAGAGTGGGCGTGGGCCGGTCTCACCTGCCGCACAGGTACAGCCGTCTGTGTTTGCCTGGCAGCCCTGTTGGGCTCCTATGGGGAGCAGGGTCTGGAGCTGGGCTCACTCAGGGCTCTCGGACCTCGGTAGGGACACAGGCATTTGCTCACGGAGCAGGGAGGCCGCCTTGCTAGAGGGCCCGCAGCAGACACAGGTGGGGTGGGTCACAGCGGAGGGTCACAGCTGGAGTCACGTTCCTGAAGGACACTTGAGGGTGACCCCAGCAGCCCTCAGGGGGTGCACCGGAGGTGCCGGGGACCACAGGGCTCCACTCATTGTGGATGTTTTGGAGGCATCTGGGTGCTGTGGGCAGGAGCTCAGGGGCCATGCACCCCCTCCTCGCCACCCTTGGTTGTCTCCAAGCCCACAGGCCAGGCTGGGGCACGCTGCTGGCCCTTGGCTGTTGGTTGGCAGGACCTGGAGACCCACAGAGGGAGGAGGACTTCCCAGCAGGGGAGAGGCAGGGTTGGGCTCCAGGCTGGGGAGCTTCCTTGGGTCCCTGAGGTGCAAAAGGGCTTCCTGGCGGCACCTGGGCAGTCCAGGCCACAAGCCAAAGTGAAGGAGGGGTGGAAGGCAGGCTGAGAGCAACAGAGGGATAAGGGGTCCAGGCAGGAAGACTCCGGAGCTGCCTGACCTAGGCTCGGGGTGGGGCACAGGGGCCTGTGGAGCAGAAGAGCAAAACGTGGTGACTCTGAGGACTTCACTCATTCATTTTGAAATCAGTCAATCAATCACATAGCACAAAACAGCTGTCCCTCACTGGCATCACCTGGCCTTCTGTCTCCCCATGTTGGAATTCCTGCCAGGGCCCTGTGCTCTGTGGAAATCCAGTCCCCTGGGGGACCACAAGGCCCCACACCACTGCCCCAATTGCCTGGGCGCTCATCTGTGCCCTCCTCTGCTTGGCTGCTATCCCAGCTGCATGACCCCTCTTCCAGGCAGCCTTCCTCCTCCATCTCATCTCAGGGACACCCATCCTGGCTGTCAGTGCGCACACAGCCTGACCACGCTCCCCAAAGCCCGCTCTAGCCCCCACTCCCACGCCCGTAGCCCTTGTCTCTAACAGATGAGGTAATTCCAATGCTTGCTACAATGTAACCTGTGCTGAGGCTGGATGATGCGTGTGTCTTACTCTAAGTGAATCCCAGACTCCCAGAACAGGTCCGGCCCAAATGTTTGTTGACTGACTGAATGGTGCACTGGGAGGCTGCAGAGGGGAGAGGCTGGCTGGGCGCTCGGTTCAGGAGGCAGGAGATCTGGATGATTTCCAGCTTCTCCTGGCTGTGCAACTTGGCCTTGCTACTGAACGTCTCTGAGCCACATCTATAGAGTAGAGACGGCCCTGGGCCCACGTCATTGTGTCACATGGGGCTGGTGAGCTCCAGCAGCTCCTCTGCAGCCACAGGCCTGGCCATGAGGGGCGTGGGGACTGGCTTCACCCTCCGAGGGGCTGGCAGGGAAGACAAGGTCCCAGACCCTCGTGCCCTCCTCCCATCCTGCTCCAGGACGTGGCTGGGGCAGTGCTCACCGTCTATGTTGAAGACCGGGGCTCTCTGCAGCTGGAATTTCTCCACGTACTCCAGGTATCTTCCCAGCCATGTGGGGTCCTCCAGCATTCTTCTCGCTGGAATCAGAGGGGCTGACAGTAAGTGGCTGAGGCCTGGAGCCTCTGTCTTTCCTGCCCTCCTCCCCTGCAGAGAACCACAGGGAGGCAGAGGCCCTGGGGGTCGGCCACCCCACCACTGAGTCACCGTGACACAGGCAGGGGGCTCGCTGGACACCTCCCCTGCGACCTCCCAGGCCCGGCCAGCTCTGACTACAGCGGCCCCAATCTTGCCTCCTGTAAACACACTGTCTGTTCTGAGCACAGCAGGCAAAGTGCCCCTGGAAGGAGGGAGTCAGGCCTGGCCCGCCTCAGTGGAGATCCCCAGAGGGTTCTGAGTTCCAGCCTGGGACCGCCCCTCCCACCTCCCCGACCTTCTCAGCCCTGGGGCCTCTCAGCTGCTGCCGCCCGCTCCCCTACCCCGTCCTGGGCTCAGGTCCAGCTGATGGTCTGCCCCAAAATGCCCCCAGTCCCCTCTACCCCCACCCTTGTCCTCAGGACACGGCCGCCCCTAGATGTCCCCCACTCCGTCCCCTGTGTCCTCCCAGCCCTTCTCCCACGGCGCTTTGACTTTCAGGAGTCGCACAGCACCCCGAGACATTGCTTGATGAGGAGGAAGACAAGGAAGGTGTGTTCTCAGTTTCACCCACTGACAAGTCAAGCTCCCGGTGCAGCGGCCAGAGCAGCGCCTGGCTCCGAGCAGACCCGCAGTGCACGTCCTGGGTGGGGACGCCCTCCTCGAGGGAGGGGCGCGTGTCGGAGGAAGCGCTCAGCTCCAGCACCCGAGGCTGCTTGCGCCTTCGGGACACGCTTCATGGAAGACCCCTCCCGGACAGGACGGCAAGTCTCCACGCCGACCTGAGAGTGTCCTGGCAGCCCCGCCTCCTGCTGGGAGCACCGGCCACCTACCCAGCAGCACCCACAGGCTGGTGACCTCGTCATCCTCAAAGCGCACGTAAAGGATGAGGTTGCTGTAATCGGTGCTGACGAAGCGGACGTGCATGCTGCTCCCCTCAACTGCGGAGACCCCGGGCCGGGTGATGCGTGATGCCCCTCCCCTCTGTCTCCCAGATCCCGGACCCCCCATGCCCTGTGGACAATGCAGGCCGCCAAGAGGGTGCACAGGCTCCTTCCAGCACCCGGCCGTCTCCCAAAGCCAACAGCCACTCCTGAGTGTCGTGGCCAGGACCAGGCATCCCAGCGTCCCTTGCTCGCCCCTCCCCACTCAGAGCCCAGCCCGGATCCCAGACAGGGGCACTCACAGGAGCCTTGATACTGGCCTTGCAGCTGGGTGGGATGCACGGTGATGCTTTCTTCTTGACATGCCCCTTCTCCCCTGGGAGGAGAGAAGGGAACCAGGGCCTGGTCAGCCCCCAACTATGTCCTGTTGACCTGTCCCAGGACGGGGTAACCTCTCAAGGCTCTCCACCAGGGGACACTGGGGCTGCCACCAGCTGGGAGCCCTGCCGTCCTCCCCAGGGATCAGCTCCCCAGGCTCAGGGGCAGCCTTGTACTGCACAGGCACCAGGGTTGTGCGGCCCATGAGGAGGCGATGCCCGTGGTGCTGGGATGGGGCAGGAGTCAGGAAGCGGGAGCCTCCCCATTTCCGGGATGACGCCAAACTTACCAGAATGGACTGGTCCCAGTCTGGCCTTTGTTCTGAGCTGCAGGCCTTGGGGGCTGGGACCCTGACTGTCCTGCCTGTCCCTACTTGCTCTGGCTCTGTGCATAGACAGAGCCCACTCACCCCCAGGCCCCTGGCTCCAGGGGGTTCGGTTTCTCATTTGGGGTGGGTGCCCAGCAACCCCTGGGATTCTGCAGGCCGCCGCGAGGCATGTCTGTGACTGAGCATGACAGACCCTGCCACCACCCTGAAGGCGGTTAGGCTTGTGGTTCTAACCGCCTTCAGGGCTATGGGTGCAGGCGGAATCACAGGAGCTTGTTGCGGGCGTCACTGGCTCAGCGTAGCTTGTCCCAGGGTGGATTCTCTTTTGCTGACAGGGCAGCTGTCCTCAGGATCCCCTGGCTTACATGGGGGTGAAAGGAGCATGGGCCGGGGTGGCTGTGGTCCTTGGGAGGGGGTTATTGGGAATTAGCAGGCAACTTTCAAACACCGGAGATCACACATTTAAAACAGCCAGCCTCGGGCTTCCTTCACAGCTGGAACATAGGCCTGTGGCCCAGTGGGCCAGTCTGCTGGGACTGGGTGTGGCCTCCGGGGCCGGGCTGTGTGTTTCCTGCGCCCGCCTCTGGCAGCTTCCAAGCTTACCCCTCTCAGAGCAGGGTCTTGGGCCTCAGCTCGGGTGTGATGTGTCCCTCTGGCTGTGAACACTGGCACTGTTCCTTGGGGCTCCCTGGGTCTGAGAATAAGCGCCTGAGAGGGGTGGCAGGAGCCATGCTTACTTCCAGAACAGCACGAAGTCCACGTCCCCACTGTCACTGGTCCGGATGGAGTGCAGGGCGAGCCTCAGGGGGTCGGATGGGGAGACCAGTTCTGCGCGGCTGGCTGCCAGCTGCAGGGTGAGCCAGCGCCCCTCCACCTGCAGGGGTGAGGGCCAGGTGGGGGAGAGGCTGACCAGTGCCCGGCTATGTGGCACCCCCTCCACCTGCAGGGGCATGGGCTGGGGCAGGGGAGGTCAGCTAGTGCCTGGTTGTGTGGCACTGGCAGGCCCCTCTCTGGGCTCTCAGGCCCCAGCTTTGGCACTGAGCATTGATCAGCGGGTAGCCCTGCCCCTCCCGGGGGCTGCGCTGGCATATGTTCCCCCTTTCCAGTCTATATTGGCAAATGCCCATCTCTGGGTCCAGGTGGAGGCTGAGCTGTGCTTCCTTCCTGGGAAGAGTCACCTCCAGTCCCCCTCTCTCTGGTCTCTGCCCAAGTCCACTTCCCATTTCTCTCAGCCCCACACCCCCACCCCTGCCTGGTCTAAGCTCTGTTCCCCTGGTCAGGGAGGGGAGAGGGGAGGGTCTGGTGCGGTGCCAGGTGTCCCTTTATCTCTGAACTCCCCTCAGCAGCACCAGGACCCCAGGGGCTGCATGGGGAGGAGGAACTGGGACCTTCCCTGTGCCCGGGGCTGGCTTCTTCGTGTTCCCCAGGATGAGCCCCTCTCCTGCTCCCCAGGACCCTGCTGCCTGCCTCTGCCCAGCATCTGAGCACTCTGTTCCTCCAGCCTCCACCCTGCAGCCTTCTGCTGAAACTGCTGTTGAGCCCCGGCTTCCACAGCCCGGAGAGAGCGATGGGCCCGCGGTTCATCAGCGGCTGATGGCGCAGGGCGACAGAGCCTCCTCCCGCCTGGGGTGGCCCCAGGCCCAGGTGCAGCTCACCCTCCAGAGCTCCTGCAGGGTCAGGCAGGGCCCTTACCCCCCACCCCCTGCACCTCCTCAGCGTTCCAGGTCTAAGCCTGGGGGCTGGACCCATGACACTTACCTTGTGCACATCAAAGCCCCGCTGTACCGGCACTTCTTCCAGAGCCTTCTGGGCACCTGCTAGGCCCAGGCCGAGGGCCAGCAGCAGGAGCAGCGCTGTCTCCAGAGCCATGGCTCGGGGGAAGCAAGAGCACCCAAAGCCAGCTCCCTCCCCTGTCCTGCTGGGGCCCGCCCCACCGTCCCACCCGCCACCTAAAAGTTCCGCAATCGTACCCCAGGAATGATGCCACCTCCCTGCCGCCTCCCTGACGCCTGGTGTCTAAAGTGATGCAAAGATGTGGTTTGGGCCGGGTGTGGGGTGGCTGTTGGGGTGGTTTAACCGGAGTCTGGGATTAGGCCTGTGGCTGGAGGCTGAGGGAAGGGCAGGGGAGGATGTGGGCTCCCTTGGGCCACAGCCCCTCCTCTCCAGGCCCCCAGCCCCTCCTCCTCAGGGCCCCCAGTCCCTCCTCCTCAGGCCCCCAGCCCCTCCTTCCCAGGCCCCCCAGCCCCTCCTCCCCAGGCCCCCAGCCCCTCCTCCCCAGGCCCCCCAGTCCCTCCTCCCCAGGCCCCCAGCCCCTTCTCCCCAGGCTCCCAGCCCCTCCTCCCCAGTCCCTCCTCCCCAGTCCCTCCTCCCCAGGCCCCAGCCTCCAGCGTGTTTGCCCACCGGCTGCTGGAGCCACAAATACCAGGAGCCCTCACACGCCTTCACTTTTGCTCGTGGTGGGCCCTGCCTGGGTGTGGGGACGGTGGAGGGGGTGCTGCAGACCAGCCCTGGGAGGGCACTCGGCACACACCGGGCACCAAGCCCTCTCGAGGCGTCTGCCCCTTGTTCCTGCTTTCTGCAAACGTCTCCCTCCAGCCCCCTCTCTTCACCCTGGAGCTGCTCCGGTCCAGGCCATGAGCCTCTCTCTCGCCCCATCCTCCTGCCCTCAAATGTCCAGAGGCCAGCGTGGGCATGCCGTGAGCATGCACCCTGCTCGGCCATCCTGGGTCCTCCTTTGCCATCTGGATTGAGTGCAGACCTCCAGGCCACAAAGCCCCTGTGTTCTGGTCCCTTCCACCCTCCTTCCCCCACTGCTGCAGCCGCTCAGATGCCTGCCAGCCCTCGAAATGGCACCTGCCTCTGTAACTGCCCCACCCCCCACCTTCCTCTTGCTTGGGGCTGCCTGGGGTTAAGGAGTGGCTGCCTGGCCCCTCCAGGTCCTGGCTTCCAGGGAGTCTGGGGTCTGGTGTGGGGACTACAGCTGGTCTCAGGGTGACCACTGGCTTGGCCTCCAGGTTCTTAGGTGGACACTGGGGGGCTACTCTGGGCTGGCGCTGCAGGAGTAGCTCTAGGAGTGACGCTCCCGCCCCATGGGATGTGGGCAGTCCCAAGTTCAACACGAGGAGCTTCTGTTTACTCTCCAAAGATGGAGAGGGGGCAGGGATGAGTGGGTCTGTGCAGGCGTTCTGAGGTCGGTGTCAGGTAATAAAGGACAGTGCTCAGTCGAGTGCCTGCCCCCCAACCTCACTGTGAAGTCAGGTCTTGGCCAAAGGTCCTGGCTGAGGGTCCGGTGAGGTTTTCGGGAAATGCACGCAGCCTGTCGGGGAGGCCCCAAAACCCTGGCTGGTGGGGCCCGGCCTGATACGCAGGGTCTTTCTGGAGGCTTCCATCAGCAGGCCAGGGCGGGGCAGCTCTCTCCAGTCAGCCTTGGTAATGGTCAGGCTAGAAGATGAGGTCCCATTCACCGCGCCTGGCCACAGGCACTGGGACTCCGGTGGGGCTGGGGGGACTCGGGCCCCGCCACGTCTTGGAAGATGGAGCAGCTGCCGCCCGGGTCTGACTCAGTCTGGCTCCCACACATCCTCCAGCACCGAGCTGGCTGTGCCCGAGTCGAGGGTCCAGGTGCCGATACAGCATCTGGCATCCTGCCCACGCCCCCTGCGCCCTGGGGAGGCCAACGCCGCCCGGCTTAGTTCCACATGCTGGTTCTAAGGGGCGAGGGCTGGGCAGGGTCAGCACAGGGCGGAGGCTCCAGCCACCATCCCTCTTCCTCGTCCTGGGTGCAGGAGCCAGTCCACAGCAGCCTACACTCAACCTCATCTGCCATTCAGCTGGGCCTCAGGGGGTCCTCGTGCTCCGTCTGGACCTTCCGGGGCCCAGCTGCTGCCCTGGGCCTGTGACGTCTGCCTCTGGGCACCTTCCCTACATCCCAGCCTCCCTGGTGGCCGGGTGCTAGCCTGAGGTTCTCAGGACCAGGACAGGCTCTACTCTCACCAAGCTCTCTCCAAGGGAAGGACCCCTCCCCTGAGCCGAGGAGCCCTGCTGGCTGGCTGGGCACAGGCGAGAAGCCACTGAAGAGCAGGTGCAGAGCTGGCTCACTGCAGGGGAGCGGGAGGAGCAGGGGCAGGACGGGGCCTGCTGGCTCTGGGGTCGCGCCCGATGGGGACCTGGGAACCCAGAAGCTCTGCCGCTGTCTCCCACCCAGCCCAGTAGGACCTCCCCTACCCCATGTGCCAGGGAGAGCATTTGGCCCCTGAGGAGGGCTCATGGGGGCATCTTCCCACGTCCGTCCCTTCCTCAGGTCCTGCCCACGTCCCTCTGTTGCCTTGCTGCCTCCGTCACCCAGAGCCTGTCCCAGGCCCTGTACACCTGATGGCCAAGTGGTGTCATCTCCTCATTCCTGCCCCACCCTGTCTCACTGCCCCTTCCAGAACCTTCCTGCCAAGTCACATTTACATCAACAACTAGCCCACGCCAACCCCCCATCTGAGCCACATGGCTCCCACCGGGAGCGACGGTCACTTCTCACGGTCAGTGTAGTCTCCGGGGTCTTCTCCCAGGTAGAATTCCTTCGCGCACTTTCCGTGTTTTCTAAAACAAGAGCAGCCTTCCTTGAGAGGCGGGCCTGCGAGAGCTGGCACTGTTCTGAGGCGCGTGACTCGGTCTCCTGCCTCGGGGTGGCCCAGGAGGGGCTGAGGGCTGCCATCCCACCTTCCAGGGGAGCAGCTCAGACGGGTGGCCCTGAGCCCTGTGGTCAAAGCCTTCCTGGGGGACTCGGGGCTTGTGGGGAGCCATAGGCAGTGGGGAAGCCCAGGGAAAGTGCTTGGCTGCAGGATTCCGCCCTGGGCTCTCCAAGGGGAGGAGGGCGTGGGCAGGTGGAGACCTGGGAATGGGCTGGGCGGCCAGCAGAGCCCTCTCCTGTACAGGAGTCAGAGACCTTCAGGCTGCCGTTTTCCAAGATGTCTGACATGAAACAGACATGGGGGCACCTCCGTCCTTAGTGACAGTCCTGGTGACACAGGGTTCATGGATCTTCACGGCCCCTCTACCTGGAGACAGCAGGGCCCACTGTCCAGCCTGTGCCAGCCTTCAGAGCCTCTCCTCCCTGGGTCCTGGGCTGCAGCAGGGATGGGGGCTGGCCGTGCATGGGAAGGGTGTGTACTTTCTCTCACGCCAGGTTCTGGGCCCAGGCCTTGGGGGCTGCTGACTCTGAACCCCCTCCCCAGTGGGGCTGGCCAGCTTGCTGTGGTCCCTTAGCCACGGGTGATGCTGAGCGGGTGGTGGCGGCTCCCTGCATCTTCTCCCACCCTGGGGCCCTCGGGTCTGTGGCTGTGGGAACACGGGAGGCAGGCCCGGCTGAGGGCCCTGGGTTCTGAGCGCTGCTGGGACCCTCAGCTGGTGTGGAGGTCTCAGGAGGTAGACGCAGCTGGCCCCTGTTGGCGTGGTGAGGGGCCTCCTGCAGGCCTGGGTCCCAGTGGAGGAGGAGGAGACCTGACATGTCCTCCTGGCCCATGCTGCCTGTGGGGTGGGGGCGAGCCAGTCCCTGGAGCCCCAAGGCTCTGCTGTGGGCTGTTCCTACCCACCCCATCTGCCACCTTCCAGGCCAACTGGAAGCTGTTCCACGAGGACCCTGCGAGGCTGCCACCCCAGCCACAGAATGGCAGCTTCCTAACGGCCCTGAAGAGAATACACGTTCATTGAAAACAAACAGCGGCCGGGCGCGGCGGCTCACGCAGGGAGCCCCAGCACTTTGGGAGGCCGAGGTGGGCAGATCACTTGAGGTCAGGAGTTCGAGACCAGTCTGGCCAACATGGTAAAACCCTGTATCTACTAAAAATACAAGAATTAGCTGGGCCTGGTGGTGTGCACCTGTAATCCCAGCTACTCAGGAGGCTGAGACAGAATTGCTTGAACCTGGGAGCCAGAGGCCACAATGAGCCAAGACGGAGCCACTGGGCTGCAGCCAGAGAGACTCCATCCTCCCCTCCCTCTGCCAAATAAAAAACAGCCGTGGCGTCAGATGCTAAAAAATTTTACACAGAGATGGGGCTCTCCCTACCTTTCCCAGGCTGGTCTTGGACCCCTCGGCTCAAGCAATCCTCCTGCCTCAGCTTCCCAAATCGCCAGGATGAGAGGTGTGAGCCCCAAGCCTGGCCTGCGCCAGAAGATTCTGTCTCTTCCACCCAGGGAATCCCCGAGGACAGCGGGAGGGCAGAGGGGAAGCAGGCTCTGAGCAGAGGGAGCCGGGTCCGGTCGGGCAATCGAGGAGCGGCCGGCCCTACAGTCCCCAACCACCCTCCCCTGCCACACGGGTGTCCCCAGCCGACACTGCCACCGGCGACCCTGCCTGAGACACGAGAGCTGATCAGGAGCCGTGGCTAGCCACTGGCCTGTGTCCCCGGTGTGAAGGGTAGGAGCCAGCATGGCCCAGGCAGTGTTGGCGACACCCATGGACCTCTGGGGAACCCGCTATGACTCATCAAGGCCAGGTTGGTGGGGCAGAGATGGAGGCCACCTGGGAGGCAGCCAGGGCCCAAGCCTGGCCGCACAGGTCGAGGGTCCGAGAAGCACCGCGTGTCAGGTACCCCAGATTCTGCAGGTTCTCCCCTTGGGAGTTTCCACCCAAACATGGCGCGTGGAAGCTGCCTCCGTCCAGGCGGCTGGCCTTGGCGGGGCTCCAAGAACCGGCTCTTCCTTAGCAAACAGGCCTGAAAACCCAGGGCAGAACTCCTTTTTGAAAACAAGTGGGAACAAATAAACAAACTGAAAAGAATTCTGCTGAGACAGCAGGCACAGCACCGGGACGCGCCAGCCACCCCCAAAAGGCACTGGGAAGGGAGGCGGGACCCCAGTGTGCAGGTCACCCCCAAAAGGCACGGGAAGGGAGGCGGGACCCAGCGTGCAGGCCACCCTGGGAAGGCACAGGAAGGGA